TAATGTTTTTGTGGAATGGAGGGAGCATTTAATAGCTCAAATATTTTTTTATCCGGTCCAATCGATTCAGTCTGGTCTTGTCCAAATCTGAATAGATTTAGATCCGGTCTTCGGTGTGTGATTTTATTTAATTCAGCCTTTGGTCCAATCTAGTCGAAATTCATTTTCTGAAATTTCACACTAGAATTTCTAGTCTAAAAACGAGTGGAGTTTGACTATCAAAATTGGATTACTCCCAAACCGAATGAACTCTATAGACATGTGCGAAATAGACTCAATTTAACTGAGACCCAACCCTAAATTGGACTTTAAATTGAAAACACAACAGAGAGGACCCTAAATTGGAATAAAACACAGACAAAATACTAAAATATGATTTCTATGTTTTAATTTTTCAAATAAGAGTTCGCACGGTTGTAATGTCGCACTGTACATGGACATTTTACTATACCTGTACACAGTCATGATTGATAATGTAAATGCATTTTAACTCCTTATTCGAAAATAAAAACACGAAACTCTTATTTTGGTATATTTTCAATATTATAATCCATTAGCTTTGTTAAAGATCACGAATTTAATAAATTGGCCAAAATATAGGCCTAAATTGCATCTAGTTATTTCAAAAGTACGTTAAAGTTAACTACGGGTTTACTTATGTTTTCATTTAGAATCCGACCTTTCAACCTACCGTTGATGCTCAATATAATGAGAAATTCTTACGGGGTTAAGATAAATGGTGGACCTTCACTTTTTTACTTTGTCAATTTTTAATACGACTAGAAAGATGAATTTCTTAACTATTTATTTTAAGGGAAATAATTTTTTTTGTACAAGCTAAGTCACAACCATATCATGTAAACAACTGGGGCAGTGCTTATATTTTGTAAAATTGTTAACAATATTTATCTGTTAACTATCTATCATTCTATTATCCCTAGGTTATAAATGAATTTTGTTCGTGATTTTTTAGTGTCAAATGGTGAAGTAAACCTAATTAATTTGAAGAAAAACGCTACATGTACCCCAAAGCATTACCCTGACATTAAATATAGGTGCAAAACTGTACTATACAATAATGTCCGAAGACTGAAGTTTGATACGGAGTATCATAATCATGTATTCATGTCCCAAGTCTATGAGCGGAATACAAATGATTTACAATTTACGCAAAACGAATTAAAGTCTTAAGTCTTTTTAATTTATTTTATTTAAAGATTGATATAAAAACAAGATTCAAAACTTGCATATTTAAAAAGTATATAAAAAATTTTACAAAACGAAAGATTTAAACAATGTTTTATTTTATCAATAATCAATGAAAACACATAAATAAATAAAAATTCCCGTGATTTTTAAATAGTGAAGAGTGTAAATCATTGTGTGATGGCGGGAGTTTGTGTGAATAAACAATATTGTCAAACTTTAGTCATTTGAAACTTTTTCCTTATTTCGTCCATCTTCTAAAGAATTTTTATCCATCATTTTCCTCCGAAATCTTCAATAATGCAGACGGATTCTCCATGAACTTTAAGAATTGTAACAATGGTTCCTAAACTTTTTAAAATGCATCGTCAATGTTCCCTTTGTGTCGGATTTGGGTGTGCGTTAATCACATGAACGTCCAGTGCAAGTATGGGTTCATTTAAACTCGTATACCACATATGAGTTTTGCAATATGTTTTTCCAAACATCATCTTCTAGACTTTTATTCTCTTGAAACTCTAGATAATTAATTATTCTCTCTTTAGCGGTTAGTAACCGAACTCGAATCCCGAACACCCGTCGATCAAGCTTTTCATCAATCCATCAAAAGTACGTATATTGATCAGTGTGTGATTAATGCACTAACAAATCTGGCACAGAGGGACCATTAACGCAACTTTTTTTTAAACTTTTTGCATCATTGGTGCAATTTTTAAAATTCATTGAAAATCCGCATACTTTTTAAAAAGTTCGAGTGTAAATGATGCAAAAAAAACTTAGTAGAATTTGCACTAAATAGTACTAAAACACGTGTCATTTCTCAATATAGTACTGAAACATTTTTATTACCTAAATATTACTTAAATAATGTCTAGTAGCGAGAACAATGCCCAGTAATGATGGACATTTAGTTTGAATAATGTCCAGTGGCGGTGGACATTACTTGAACAATGACCAGTGAACAATGACTAGTGTATTATATTATTATAAAATAAAAACATATTGTATGACATCAAAAAAGTCATTATGTTTTAATACTATTTAATTTTAATACTATTTAAGTAAATCTCGTTCTAAAAATCTTACATATTTATTTGTTTTGTATGTCCAAGAATTTACGGAGTGTCTCTTTCTTTCTAAAGAAAAAAGTGTATGAATCATATAAAATGCAACATACGCATTCACTTATTGATAATTTGATACGAGTAATTGTCAAAATATTAGTTGGATATGGGACAATCTATAATAATCACCATCACCGACATGTGGCCCGTTTAATTTGTGTATCAATCTAAAAGTGTCATATTTCCATGCATTATTATAAAAATTTGATTTCTGTCAAAAAAAAATATAAAAATTTGATTGATATCTATTTCTTTCCAACCATGCTTAGCCACATCTTTCTTTATTTCATGGTCTCCCCTATTTCATTTCTTGATTAGGTTTTTGACTTTTCTCCAAAAGCAAATGTTGTAGTTTTGTTGGGGAAAATGAAGATAACTTGAATCAATTTGAGAGTTGTGTAGCACTTTTAGATTGATTATTTTGTGTGTTCAATCCAAAATTAATTGGATAAAACTTAAATTTGACAAGAACAAGTATAAGATTTTATGAATCTCGAACTGTCCTTTTGCGACCAAGGATATGCGGGATTTATACAGCCACGGAAGAGAAGAAAAGCCGCGGTCGCGTCTCCCATCTAATATAAAAAGCGTGTCCCCTTGCGTGAATTCAAGAAACAGGCGCTATTTTTTTCTGAAATTTTTCCTTTAAGGAAAATTCGAAGGCCCCTTGAATCCCACAAGGACGTGTTGTTGCCTCTTGAACCTTGCTCGGGTTCGCTGCCTCTCTTGAACTCCCGTTAAAACAAGACTTTTGTTATAACAAACTCAATGAAGCGTGTACTTCCGCAATACCAATTTTTTTGATGATTATTATTATGATAACGTTGTCCAAATAGTTTTTCCATTTACACTAAAATATATAACAACTTACACAAGACTTTGGATTCGACAAGATTACACTAAAAGTTTACATTAAAACAATATAGTCCTTTCACATAAAATCTTACATATTTGCCTTTCATGTATTTAAAATTAAATTGAAAAATATAAAAACGTGGTTAAAACTTGTTACTAAAGGAGAGAAAATTTCAAGGCCTTATAATGTTTTCTTTAAGAGGATATATATTGATTTTTTTGAGACAAATGAATAAATAGAAAGAATAAAGTTTTTTACAAAACGAATAGAATGTACACCAAACTTGAAGTTTGCACTCTACAAAAAAGTTTTGTTGTGTAACAAGACAATGTTTGTCGATCTAGACAAATCTCAACTTTTTTTAAGTGTACTTTTTTTTTGCATATTTTGGTCCAAACCTTGGAATATTAATGTTAAGGATTCAGCTCAATTGATGCTGTGTAGGTTTGAAATTCTAATTAAATCACATATAGATTTTTATGAACATATTCAGACCGGTCTAGTGTTACGGCTCGGACATCGATCGATCGATTAGTCAGGAACAAGGCTTCAAGCTAAGCCGTGCAAATTTTGTTTCCAACTCGTGTTGCATTTGATGCATCGTGTGTTGAAGTGTGTCGATATGCTCACAGAGGACCAGCTACAGACTCTGTAGACATAATGAAAGCATTAATTGATACAACCACGTACGCCAAAGCATCAATTCACGTATGCCCAAGGAATTAGAGCTGCAAATCAGTCAGTCATGTTGGGTTCAGGTTTAGGTTATTTTGGGTTCGGGTAAGTTCAGGTTTGAGTTGAGAACTGTATGTTCGTGATTCAGTATCATTGGGTTCAGGTCGACCCAATGAGTTATGATTTTGTTGTTTTTGAAATTTTTAAATAATTTTTATGACGCAGTGTTAATATTACGAATAAAAAAACTAAATATGCAGAAGTTTTGGAATAAAAGTAGGATAAATATGCGACATCATTAAAATGTTGTATAAAAATAAAAATTTATACATTAAATTTATCTATGTTTAAAGAAGTTGACAAGCTTATAGACTGATGTGACTGACGTGATATTGTTAAAAACTTAAAGTCATTTTTGGTTTATTGTAAAATAAGGATTAAATAAATGGAAAAAAATCATTTTGAGACAAAAAATAAATGTCAGAAACCTAACTAAAATTTTATAGTCACGAAAAAACAATGACCATTTGTATAATTTTTGGTGTCAGACTTTTAATGTCAAACATAGGTCAATTCTAGTATATAACTAGAATAAAATACTTTATGTCTTTAAATTATAGTCACAATTTGAACAAGGTGCAAATTTTTATTCTATATTTTCAAATATTATTTATTTTAAGAAATGGTATACAAATAAAAATTATAAACTACTCCGTATATATTTAAAAGTTATACATTTTTTTTATAAAATTAGATGTGATATGAATACTTTATCCAATCAAATAATTAACAGAAATATGCAAAAAATAAATAAATATTATCGAGAGATTTTAATAATAACTATCACGATAATTTGAGAATGGTGTGTGCGAGTATTTGGTCATGTTTTTCCCAACTTTTATTTACTTATTCTTATTGAAATCAGACCAGATCAAAAATAATTTTAAATATAACTATATATAAATTAAATAAGATCAAATCAGAGCAGATCAAGTTGGTTAAAAGAACATGACCCTTTTCAAATTGTCACGCTATTTGGTACGAAGTTAGGAACCTAAATTACCGAACCGTGCGAGACTGTTAGGTGTGAAAAGGAAATAATTCGTGCGAATATTCGTTAAGCCGTCTATAAAAATCCAACGCTTCTCCCCACCACACCATTGGAAAACAAAGCAGAGGTCAAGTAGGATTCGTCCACCGGAGGAGCGATCCAATCCCCACGCGCCGCCGCCGTGTCTCTCGATCTCCGCCTAACAAACACTGCCCCGGATCGCCAGTTCATAGGATTACTGTCACTGCCGCAATTAGGTCAGGAGATTCACCAGGAAAAACAAAAAAGAAAAGAAGCAATTCGCATTGACCCGTCCGATCGCCGGTTTCCTTCGTTACCCCTCCGCCGCTTCCTTCTTCCGATCTTCTTCCTCAGGGGGCAGCGGTGGCCTCGGAATACGCATGAGCTGTTTGGTGAAGCCTTGTTTCTCTAATCCCAACAAAAGCCCCCTCTCTAATATCTGCCCCCCTCTCTTCTCCAGTATATTTAATTCCCGGGCCAAAAGTGTAGCCATCAATTCGCTGGTCCTCAGATTGTTGCGATTGTTATCGCTGCTGAATATTAATTTTAATTTATTTGATTCCGATTGCCATTCTTCTTCTTCTTCAATTAACCATGGAGTCCAGGAGTAATAACTACAATCTCCAGATCCAAAGAGGTTCGTCTTTATTTTCAAATACCGATTTCCGCTTTGTTTTATGTTTTTCTTGTCGGCTGGTCAATTCTTTATCAATAACGCCAGCTAAAGTTGAAAAATATTCTGAACTTTTTTTTATCATGGTACCAGTGGCTTTATTCATTTATAATTTTGCGTTTACGGGTCAGCAAGATCATAAATTTATGCGTACAATTAACAGCAAGTAACTATGAATAGTAAGCGTTCGAGGATATGTGTGGCTGATCATCTTTTGGTTCTGTCTGGTCATTGAATTGTTGTATACCTTTATCTGATGCTGTATGACTTTTTTTTTTATTGGTTTGGGTAATTGTGTGGTATGAAAATGTGGAGTGTATTTTAAACCTTTGCAGCATACTGGCTTTGACTTTTGGTGTATTCTTTAATCCCTGTTTAAATGCTGAAATTATGGGATACCAATAATCATTCAATCAGGCTACTGCCCTTTTGGACTAATAAAAATGGCAATTTTGCCATTATTGTCAACTTCAAAGCAATTTTGTCTTCATTTTGGCAGTGGTTCAGACCTACATTTAAAGTAGATGGCTTTTTGTTACTCTCCTCTTTGTGCGCGTTATTGCTTGGTTGTTATAGCCATAAGGAAAAGATTGTTATGAGTTACTCCACACATTGTTATTGTTCATCATTATGTGGCGATTGATTGTATTTAATTAAATTTGCATCTTCTATAGGCTTATGCTATTCAAGTGATGAGACTCCTGAGAGGAGGCTTTCGGCTTCTCCGTCTGTCATAGTGATTGGTGCCGGCTTTGCAGGACTTGCAGCTGCCCGAGCTCTTTCTGATGCTTCATTCAAGGTATGACCTAGAGTATGTTTATGAAACACTTTATTTTCTGGTAAAAAGTTTTGAATGATGCATTCTAATGGCATTGTTCTCTTTCAGGTTGTAGTGTTGGAATCAAGAAATAGAATTGGTGGCCGTGCACATACAAATTACTCGTTTGGTTTTCCTGTTGACTTGGGGGCATCATGGTAGTTACACTCTTTACTGTTTATTACGTTTAGCCTGCTTGTTAGTAGAAAATATCAATTCTTGATGAGGATTCCCAGATTAAGGTGTATACTGATAATCTCTTGCACTGATAATCTCTCTCTCAGGTTACATGGGGTCTGCGATGAGAATCCTCTTGCACATGTAATTGGAAGACTTGGGCTACCTTTGTATCGCACCAGTGGGGATAATTCAGTCTTATATGACCATGATTTGGAAAGGTTTGCAATTCCTGATTTTTTATCATTTGATATGCTTAGTGTTGAGTGTTGCCTGATATTCCTCTTTTAATGTTTACATGTTTTTCAAAAAATCTTATTTTGTTTTTTTCTTCAAATAGCTATGCACTCTTTGACATGAATGGGAACAAAGTTCCCCAGGAGTTGGTTTCAAATGTTGGAGTAACCTTTGAGAGCATTCTGAAAGAGGTATGTTCTACGGCTCTATCTTTCTTGTTGGCATTCTCTAAATAGAAATACCAAACAGAGAAGATATATGAAAATTGTTGTCATTCTCTTTTAGACCAGGATAATAACCTTCTATTGTTGTTTCCTCTGTTTTCGCAGACAGAAAAAATCAGACAGGAATTTAGTGAAGACATATCTATGAAGCGTGCAATTTCTTTGGTGTTCGAGAGAAGGCCAGATTTAAGGTTCTATCTATTTTCATCACTAGTTTGTCATTGTGCCATCTCCTCTTTTCTTAATTCAGGTGTTCTTTACATGTGGGGTTTTGTTTACAGGATGGATGGACTTGGTAATAAGGTGTTACAGTGGTATCTCTGCAGAATGGAAGGTTGGTTTGCTGCTGATGCTGATACCATATCACTTAAATGTTGGGATAAGGTTAGTCTCATTGTTCAACTTTGCTTCTGCTCTTAGCCTTTGTTTGGGTCGCTATTTGTTTATGAAAACATCTGTTCCTTTCTTTTCCTTTTTTCCATCAATGTTTGTGATCTATGCAGGAAGAATTACTTCCTGGAGGCCATGGTCTTATGGTGAGGGGTTATCGTCCCGTGATAAATACACTTGCAAAAGGTCTAGATATCCGCTTAGGGCACAGGTTAGTGCTTTATCACTAAAATATCCTTTTTTTTGGGTTATACTATGCACGCGTGCTAGTTTATCGATTTTTTTTAAAATTTAAATTTTGCTATGTCAGAGTTGAAAAAGTCGTGAGGCGTTATAATGGAGTGAAGGTAACAGTTGAGGATGGGAGAACCTTTTTGGCTGATGCTGCAGTTGTGGCTGTTCCACTTGGGGTGTTGAAATCGAACCGTATCACATTTGAGCCCAAATTGCCGGACTGGAAGGAAGTTGCCATTAAGGAGCTTGGTATAGGAATTGAGAACAAGATAGCCCTCCACTTCGGAGATATATTTTGGCCTAACGTTGAGTTCTTGGGTGTTGTGGCTGAGACTACTTATGAGTGTAGTTACTTTCTTAACCTCCACAAGGCCACAGGGCATCCTGTCCTTGTTTATATGCCTGCAGGGCAATTGGCTCGCGACATTGAGAAGATGTCTGATGAGGATGCTGCTAAGTTAGCTTTCACTCAACTCAAAAGGATACTTCCCAATGCATCGGAACCGGTGAGTTTTTGTGCTTTTATTATATATTTAAGAAATGTTATTTTGCCCGAAATAATTGTCGGTTTAACCAAATATATTTTTCCCAAAACAGTTGTTCATATTATCTCTTCCTACAAGCTACCTTTGCCACCATTTGATCTTCTTGGGTTTTACTTCACACAAAGTTTAAGAAAAAATGGAATTATATGGTTGAGATTTGTGTAGAAATTATGAACCACAATTTTTTTCTTTTCCCTTTCAAATTCCTCTTACCAAACATGATGCTTTCGAAAGCTGTGATTGAAATTTACTTTCTGGGGATCGTTTTGTGTGCAGATTCAGTATCTTGTTTCTCACTGGGGGACGGATGTGAACTCGCTGGGATCGTACAGCTACGACACAGTGGGGAAATCCCATGACTTGTACGAAAGGCTTAGAGTCCCAGTCGATAACCTGTTTTTCGCAGGAGAGGCCACGAGCATCGACTACCCGGGGTCCGTACACGGCGCGTACTCCACCGGATTAATGGCAGCGGAAGACTGCAGGATGCGCGTGCTGGAACGGTACGGGGAGTTGGATCTGTTCCAACCAGTCATGGGTGAGGACACCCCTGTCTCTGTTCCCCTCCTCATCTCCCGCATCTAAAACAACAACCTGGGGACTGTTTTGTGAACAACTGTCTGTCGGGGAATTCTCACACAGTAGTAGTAAATATGATCAAAGCACTCCCAGTTCCTGTGTTGTCTTAGATTCTGTTGTTATTTATGAGTGCTGGATAATGATGACAGTTATTGTGGGTTGAAACACTTTTAACGGATATAATTATTGTGGATTTTGACATGAATGTCTCTCTAAATACATTAAAAGTTTAATGAATCTGAACAAACATTATGCCAATGTTTATTTGGGACACATATTTTGGTGTACTCCTAGCATTTTTTATTTGATTAAAGTGGGAATGGACATTGTAAGATGATAAGATGCACTCATTTGATACACCTACAAATATGTTTTCTCAACCCTTGTTTTAACTATACTACCACAGTTCAAGCGAATGAGCTCTAGATCTTTTCTTTAAATTTTACATATCAAAATTCAAAACATAGACAAACTAAGAGGGTGTTTGGCACTGCGCTGCTTTTAGTAATTTAGCTTCTGCTTTGAGTGAGAGTGATTTTATTATGTTTGGCGCTTTTCACCACCACTATTTTATACACAGAACACCGTTTTAGCTTTTGTGAAAATCACTTTATCCAGAAGTTAATTAATCTCAAACAAGCTCTAAATACCAAACTATGGTGGGATCAGAATAAATCAAACCACACTAAACTAAATACACATTATAAAGTATAAATCACATAATTTCTTGGTAAAAAAACCCATTTTTAGGAGAGACAAAAAAAGTGAAGTCTTTTTTTAATGAGACATGACGCCTTCGGGATACATGTGGTGCATGAGTATCGTCTATTGCCAGCTCATGTTGTAAGGCTTTGAATTCAATCTGTGCAATCATCATGGATTAAATTATTTTTGTCTCAATGTATTCGTTCATTTTAACATTATTTATTTAAATTTGGCAAATTTGATGATAAATTAAATTGTATTCTTAGAGCTTTTTTGTAATAAAAAAAAGAAAAAAAGAAAAAGAAGAAACCATATTTAGTTGATGATTGAACTTCATCAAATTTGATTGAAAAAAAGATGGGCCAGATGGCGATAGTATAAGTAGGGGTGCATACAAATCAAATAAAATGTATTCGATTCGTGATTCGTATTCAAAAAGGATGATTCATATTCGCTATATTCGAATTCGAATCCGAATACAAATCATATTTTAGATTCGAATTATTTTCGAATTCGAATACAAATATTAATAGATTCGATTCGTTTATTATTCGAATATTATAATTTATAAATAAATTTATATATATTCTAATATATTAAATATTTGTGTACATATTTTAACATATTTTAATATATTAAATTTTTGTGTACATATAAATTTGTATATATTCGAATATTTTAATTTATAAATAAATTTATATATATTCTAACATATTTTTACTACATTTTACATTATTATAAAATAATAATTTAATGTCTTTAAGAAATCTGTTTTAAGAAAAAAATACTAATATTTTCGAATTCTAATATTCGAATACGAATTCAAATACGTCAAATATCTATCGAATCGAATACGAATGTTTTTTAAAATTCGAATTATATACGAATCCGAATTCGAATACATATCACTTTAATCGAATACGAATCGAATAGTGAAATATTTGCTTCGATTCGATTCGTATACACCCCTAAGTATAAGTATAAGAATAAGCAATTTATGAAAAGTAGAGCCATGCTAGGGGTACACCAAAAGTGTACCCCATCCCATTTGTACACCACCCTCTTCTCCACCGCCCATTTTAAATTAATTTTTATTTATTTATTTATTTTTTTAATTTTCTTGGCCAATTATATAAACAAGGAAGAGGTGGGGGACAAATGGGGTACACCAGCATTTTTCTGAAAAGTATTGTGGCTATTTCAGAATAAACGGATATGAAAGCCCCTTTCTCCATAATTTATTTACCGGATAAAGTAAGAAAATACCCCTCCAGTCCTCGGCTTCTCCACTCTCCGGTAAACTGGAGGAACTGCTGGAACAAATTTGGAAATGGCTAAAGCACTGCTTCTCCTAAAACCATTCATCTCTCCCCCGACATCATCATCATCTTCTTCTCTCTTCAGGTTTGCTCTTTCCCTGTAACCCACTTTCCTTCAATTTCTTGCTCGATTTTTTTTTTTGTTTTTTTTGTTTGTCTTTCTAACAATTTCACATAAAGTCTGCATTTTTTATGTTATGCTGCACTTTAAGCATCAAATGGCTGTTCTTGGTTGCTTTCACTGTTTGTTCTGGATGTGGGCTTGTGTTATTAGAGTGCATAAATTCTTTTTTTTTTAAATTTTATTTTTGCTCTAACCTATTTTTTTTATTTATTTGTTTGTTTTGACTATATAAAGACTATGAAATTGTTTTGAAAATTTGACAACATCAATGAAACTTCATTTTCTTTCGCAAATCTTGAGATAAAAAAATACAACAACAACCTAGTAAAATCCCACAAAAGTAGGATTTGGGGGTATGTGTATGTAGAACTTACACTACTTGGAAGTAGTGTTAGACAATAATACTAATATTACTTCTGGTAGTATTGGTTATGGTAGTGTTTCATTATTAGTCAGCTTCCTAATCCTATTTGTAGTAGATGTTGTATTTAGTTAGTCTCTATTCTCTATTCCTAGTTGTGTTAGGAATCTCTTCTATATATACTCTATCATGTACTTCATAATTCAAGGAGCAATATTATTATTCCAATATTTCGACATGGTATCAGAGCCACCGCTCTTGGTGACCTAAGAAAAAAGTTCTTTGCTCTCACCGCCGCCGCCACTGGTAATTACAGCGACGGCGGCTCCACCCTATTCACCTCTATTTTCTTTTCCTTCTTTATCTTCAAATCAACTTCTCCATTCAAATGAAAAAAAAGAAAAAAAACTCCTATTGAAATCACACAAAAAAAACTATCGAATGAGGAACTTTTCTTTTGTCATCTCCATGGTTCTTCAAAAAAACTCAACACCTCACAAACTCTCTCAGATCTAAAAAAAAGGAAAAAAAATGATTGTTGTTTCTCTCCAATTCACCACATCAAAATCTCAAACCCAAATTTTTTTCCATCACCAATTCTTAACCTACTTTTTCTCTCTAAAATCACTCATTTCAATCATCAACCTCCCTTCTCTTTCTCTTCTGTTGAATCATTAAAAAATCCAAAGTAAATCAGCAGTTTTCGTTTCGGTTCTCCCCTTCATCACTTTCTCCTTTATTCTGGAGATGTTGAGTGGGGAAGTTCTTCCTTTATCCCGTAACGGGCCTAGGTTCTTTTTCTGTTTTTTACAGTTCCTAGAAGTCAGTTTGTCCGTGGAGGTTATCGAAAGAGATAAGAAAAACGACGTCAGCAGCTACAAGCGCACGTCAACCTTCTCTCATCTCCATCGACATCAGTAGCTACTAGCACATGTCAATTTCTCTCTTCTCCAACGACGTCAGCAGCCACCGGCGCGCGTCACACTTCTCTCTTCTCCAACGATGTGAGCAGCCACCGGTGCATGTTAGACTTCTCTCTTCTCAAAGTTTCCTGTTTCCAGCTAGTGTCCAAGCTTTCTCTTGCTTCAGCCAGAGTTCAGCTTGAGGGGGGATGTTAGACAATAATATTAATAGTACTTCTTGTAGTATTGGTTATGGTAGTGTTTCATTATTAGTCAGCTTCCTAATCCTATTTGTGGTAGATGTTGTATGTTAGTTAGTTTCTATTCTCTATTCCTAGTTGTGTTAGGAGTCTCTCCTATATATACACTATCATGTACTCTATAATTCAATGAGCAATATTATTATTTCAATATTTCAACATGTCAAAATATTGGAATAATAATATTGCTCCTTGAATTATGAAGTACATGATAGAGTATATATATAGAAGAGATTCCTAACACAACTAGGAATAGAGAATAGAGACTAACTAAATACAACATCCACTACAAATAGGATTAGGAAGCTGACTAATAATGAAACACTACCATAACCAATACTACCAGAAGTAATATTAGTATTATTGTCTAACATCCCCCCTCAAGCTGAACTCTGGCTGAAGCAAGAGGAAGCTTGGACAGTAGCTGGGAACTGGAAACTTTGAGAAGAGAGAAGTCTGACGTGCGCCGGTGGGTTCTCACGTTGTTGGAGAAGCAAGAAATTGACGTGCGCTGGTAGCTGCTGACGTCGAAGAAGAAGAGAGAAGGTTGACGTGCGCTGGTAGCTGCTGACGTCGAAGAAGAAGAGAGAAGGTTGACGTGCGCTTGTAGCTGCTGACGTCGAAGAAGAATAGAGAAGGCTACTGGAGGTGCCTGTTTGACTGAAGATCCTTGACATTCTTTTGTCTTTTTTCTTGGATCCGGGCAATGCCCTATTTCTTTCTTGAAGGGTTGTACAAGTATTCTTTCACTACTTCCTCTCTTGGCTTTGCTTTTGTGTTGTTTTTTTTTTTGGAATATTTTGGGTAACAAAAGAAAAAGAGAAGAAAGATTGATGATTAGAATGAGTAATTTGAGAGAAAAAAAAGTGGATTAAGAATTGGTGAAGGAAAAAAGATTTGGGGTTTGAGATTTTGATATGGTGAATTGTAGAGCAACTATCATTTTTTTCCTTTTTTGAGAAGATAGGATTAGTTGAGAGAGTTTGTGAGGAGTTGAGTTTTTTTTTGAAGAACCATGGAGATGACAAGAGAGAAGTTCTGTCTTTGATGGTTTTTTTGTATGATTTCAACAAGGTTGTTTTCCTTTTTTTTCGTTTGAATGGAGACGTTGATTTGAGGATAAAAGAAGGAAAAGAAAATAGAGGTGAATAGGGTGGAGCCGCCGTCGCCGGAATTACCGGCGGCGGCGGTGGGAGCAAAGAACTCTTTTAGGTCACCAAGAGCGGTGACTCTGATACCATGTTGAAATATTGAAATAATAATATTGCTCATTGAATTATAGAGTACATGATAGTGTATATATAGGAGAGACTCCTAACACAACTAGGAATAGAGAATAGAAACTAACTAACATACAACATCTACCACAAATAAGATTAGGAAGCTGACTAATAATGAAACACTACTATAACCAATACTACAAGAAGTACTATTAATATTATTGTCTAACAAGTAGACAAACCGTTTTGAGGAGACCCCTTGCTCTTTGGGTTAAAAACATAGCACAAGAAAATAACTTTCATTATCATTTCCCCCCCATTTATCTAGCATTTTATGATATCCAAACATACCCTAACCCA